AATGCATCCAACCGCTGACGGTTACGCTCGATCTCGTGACGCTCAGAAGGCGAGATGCGAACGGAGTGCAAGAGTAAACGAACGTAACGACCCCTGCTCGCCACGGATACTTTGCTACTCGAATTAACTTCTATCGTATCGCTAAGTCGTAATATCACTAATCGCTCATCGATCGCGTTCCCGAGAACAATTACGGACGATCGACGAGACCAGAAGGGAACGAAAGGGAAGCGTGCATCGAGAGGGTGCATCGAGAGAGAGAGAGAGAGAGAGAGAGAGAGAGAGAAAACGGCATTAAGGTACTTAGACAAAAAGGTACCGCGAAATTACCGGGTGACCGTTCACGCGGCGCCAATTATACACGGAGCTATCCTAAAAAAAATTATGCGCTAAACGACGGCGGCCGTTCGCGCGCGACACGAGATCGGACGTGTTCGCCAATGGAGGAAAATAAGGGGCTGGCGTCTAATCAGCGTCGTCGCTCGAGCGCACTCGGGTGCAACTAACGCGCCCCTAATGTGCGCGGAGGGATGGGGGGGTGGCCTCTCCGTTAACGGTATCTGCTCATGGATGACGGTATCTATAAGTGAGAAATCCCCTATGCTATACACAGTTAATATCAGTCGCGCAGAACACTGAGCCGTATCGTTCACGAGACACACGCGCACGATATAGAAAAGATCACGGGAGGCGCAAGGGAGGGTGCGGGGGAAAGAAACTTGCGCGAAAACCGTCCCGCGTCGAAGGCGGGACGCAACGAAACGTCCTTCATGCGCGAACGCAAAACTGAAGCGAGTAGCGCGCGGCGAGTGGTAACACAAGCGGCAACGAGACACGGCGTTTGTTCAATCGAAAACGAACTATACATATAAGGACGAAGGGAGAAACGATCGAGTTACGCGCAGCCGATCGTCCCCCCACGGACACACCCTGTCGGTTTTCTCCCTACATAGCACACCTTATCCCGAGGAACGTTCCGACAATATACCCTTAAGACTTTGGAACGTCTTCTGAACATCTAGAACGTCCTTTGGACGTTTGCTAGTACGAGTCCTCCTTACTCTCTAAAGTGTTCACAGTAAATCTCACCCCGAAGAGTGAGTCTCGCTCTTAAAGATTGAATTGAGTCGCTCGTTTTCACTCCTTAGAGTGAGATTCCACTTCAAAGAATTTAGAGTTTTTTTTTCCTCTCATCCCTTATCCCGTATTCACGCGACTGTCCACCGACGTTTCGAGTCGTTTCGACCTTAATTAATATTGCACGCACCGGCACCGGGGGAGGGACTACGTATCCGGCGACGTTTTTTCTTTTTTTTTTATTTTACGTTACGACCGCCAGAAACGTCGCCCGAAACAACGAACGAAATCGATCGTCGCGAATCTGGATCCAAGCACGCCCTCGCGCGATTGTAAATTGCGGGGCTGCGCTATCGATCCAACGATCTCGCACGTCGACATATGTGTATAACGTATAAAAAAAAAAAGAAAATTAAAAACAGATATGAACGAGTAACAAAGAGTAGTATCTCGTCGAGCCCCGACAGTTCTCGATCGAGCGAATCCACGCGGGGATCCGCGTTGCCCCTGGAACGAGGCCAATCCTTTGATCACGATGCGCTCGAATCGCATCTCCGTGATTTTTTTTCTTTTTTTTCTTCTCCTCTTCCATTTACCTCTCTACCTCCTCTCCTCCTTACACACTTGTCGCTCAAAAAAAAAGCGAACGTTACAAATATTATATAATTACGTGTACACGTACGGAGTATACGTACATATACAAATGATGCTTAAACGCTATTTATTCGCGGGCGTCCGCGATCGAGGCGGATCCCTCGATCCACGTCGGACGCACCCTGTGTATATCTCTCATCCTCCGTAGCGGAGAAGACTCTCTCCGCGAAATCAACTAGTCACGCTTACACTACAGAGATTCATGTCATTATTTATTCCCTAGTCGATACTTTAATCGTTTTTTTTTTTAGCATTACGTTACTAATTACGGTACAGAACTATCAATCAACGCCCTACGGTGAACCGTCTCGTATACGCCCGCCGGGTGGCAACCGGCTCTTTCGTCTGCTCGCCCTCGCACAGAGTTCGCGGATTTTCCTGCCGGATTGTCCGCCCAGTCGCGCGCAACCCTACATCTCGTCTTGAGCTGAGAGTATTACAGGCGCCGCGCCCCGAGGAGAAGTAACCTCCGTGTTTTCCCTGCGAGCGCAACGCGAAACGCACATGTATATATTACTCTATTTAAATAATAATAGTCAGTCCTTGACCCCTCGCCTCGACTTCCGCCCGTTTCGACTCGCCTCTCGCTGTGGAAACGACCGTCGAATGCCGAAAATGAATTCGAAGTTATTTCGTTTTTCTTCTTTTCTTCTATATTTTATTTTATTTTATTTTTTTTGGTATTTTCCATTGTAGTCTTCGTGTAGGCCAACGAAGTTTTCGGCACCCATACGAATGCGATCGTGTTAGAATCTTCCTTCCCGTCTCGTTCGAACCTCGTTAATCTTCATCTCGACTAGCTGTGCCCTGCCGTCTCGTCTTTTAGGTGGTTTCGAAGATTATCTCTTCATGAGGCCCTTGCGAGGATAACCGAGCCGCTGTCTGTCGCGGGACGCCCTCTCTCTCCGAGTAGCTGTTTGAACCCCAATTTTAACATCATTTTAGTCTGAGACCTCGTACTTTTATTCAGTAACTCTTTATAAAATTGTAGTAATGGATATATTAGAAAATAATAATTCCTGTACACGATCTCCATTTATATATCTTGCTGCATTATTTATTTTTTGAGCTGCTTGTAATAAGCGGGTCGATTATAAATTAAGGAAGCCAATGCCCACGTTCACTGCCGATGACACCTAACGACACCGACGGTTTACGGAAGGGATCGTTATACCGTCGTAACGTACTCACGCAGCTCAGGAGACTCCGCCCTCAACCAAGGATCGTCGTACTTGGACACTTCCTCGCTGCGAGTTCTTCCAGGCGGTTTGGGACGTTCGCGAGGATGCATGCGCGGTCCTTCTTCGCTCAACGATCTCTTCGTTGCATCTATATGCTTCGGCACCTCCAGCAGGGCCTTGGATCTGGTCAGCTGGGGCCTCTGTCGTTTAGTCTCCTCACTAGCAGCACGTATTATTACCGTCGGCGGGGGCGGCCCGGCCTGGGGCAGTCTGTCCTCCAGAGGACTGGTGGTGGGGAGGGGCGCTTTCACCCTGATCGCACCCTTCCGGATGAGCTTGGGCTTGCTGGACCTGCGTGCCGCCGGTGAGTATTCCGGCGAGTAATCCGGCCGCACGATACTCTTCCGCTTAGCGGTGGGCGTGGTAGGCTCCCTTGGTGACCAGATCGGCGTCGATAGGTCATCCGGCGTCGTCGCCTTTTTCGGTGGTGTTTTCTCCGGCGACTCGTCTTTCCAACCGCCTTGGTAGAGTGGGAACGGCGCGACCATATTGAGAATCTTCCACCGGAACTCCTCGTCGTCACTTTTGCTGGGTGTCGCCGGTTCCGGCGGCGGACAGTGAGTAGGCGTGACATTGTGGAAGGGTGACCATTTCTTGTCATCGATTACCTCGACTGGGATTTCGCTTGGTGATTCGTCGTACGGCGTCCACTTGATATCACTGATGTGCTTCTGCTTTTCGCGTTTTCTTATCCCGATCGTCGGTAACGGCGACGAGTCCTCATACGGTGCCCACTTGGTGCTGGTGATGCTGATCTCTGGTGAAATCAGACGTCGCACAATTCTGTTCTCTAGCTTGCTCACTTGTCGTGGATCCGGCTCCGGCGACATGCTCCTGCGTATGCTGTACTTGGGCCGTTCGCGCAGACTCTTGCTCTTCGTCTCGTCTTGGCTTCTGTACCACTTCGGCGCCTTTTTCTCGGCGGGTAGAGAGACGTGCGGCTTCATGGCCCATCTCGCTCGTATCTTCTCTCGCTTCTTACTCTCCACCGGGCTAATAACCTTTTCCTTCTCCTTTTCCTTGTCCTTGTCTTTGTCCCTTTGTGAGAAGCCCCATCTCCTCGAACTTTCGCTTCTCACTTGAGCGGAGCGCTCCAGCTTGGGTCGATCCCTGGGCTTCCCTCTGGCGGCTCTCGGATCCTCGCTGGCTTGCCTCTTCACCTCTGGCTTTTCCCATAACACGGCTGGTTCCTCGGGCGTCAGCGACTTCGAGTAGTACAACTTTTTTTCCTCCTTCTTCGTCATCGGCTTCTCCGGTTCCTTCAGCTCCGGTTTCACTTCCACTGGTGAGGCGGGTGGTGGCGTTTTCACCTTGGGACAGGTACATCTGGGCTTCGGATTCGGCATCACATCCGGCACCTGTAACCATCTGGCCTCCCTCGCGAATCTGGTGTCGTCGCTGCTGTGCTTCCTTAGGTCGTGCATCGGTGTCAGCAGATTTTCTGGCCTGACCGACCACTTGTCCGTCTCTGCACTGTGATGCTTTCTGAGATCGCCGCGGTGTACACCTTCCGGTTTCTTTTGTCCCGGAATCAGACTGTGGCAGCTGCACTTGGTCTTTCTGGCGAGATCCAAGTCTGTGGTCGAGGTATGGAGTTCCCAGCGGAACTCCGTACCCTCGCTGGTGCGCCTTCTCAGATCCCAGATCGCCTCGTCGGGCGACAAGAAGCTGCTGGTACTCCATGTCACTTCGGTGCTGCGTACCCTCAGGAAACTGGCGCGTTCTCTACGGGCGTCGGGCTCGCCACAGCTACAGATCTTTGTCGGCGTTCTTTGCGACTCCAGCGGTGCCGGTTCGATGGCGTCCAAGTCCTCAATCATCCATGAGATCTCCTCGCGACGTCGTCGGCCGCACGACGGGCAGAATAAGTCATCGTCGCGACTAGACCGCGGCTGCGGGCGGGG